GCGAGCGGGCGGGCGGCATGGAGCCCCGCGGGGCGGACGGCTGCTTCCTGGGCGACGTGGGTAGGTTAGGTGCGGGCGCGGGGAGCGCGGGCGCGGGGCGGGCCCGGAAGCAGGGACAGCCGGGCTGCTCCCGGGTGGGACAGGTGCGTCTGCGGACACGCGCTCGGCGGTCGTGACGCGCGCTGCCCGGAGGGTGCCGGCGGGGGCGTTTTGGTGGCCCGGGGTTGGAGCGCCGCCGTTCCCTCACGGGAGCAGCCTGGGTGACCCCCAGGCATCTCAGGCGCGCTCTGCGTCCGGCTCCTAGTCCCCGGCTGGCGCGTTGCCAAACCAGTCACGGTGTTGACGCGTCGGTCGTGAGACTTCAAAACTGCAGACCCACCCGCGCGCCGCGCACCTTGGGGAAGGCGCGGGGAGGGGCGTGGGCATAGTCATGGCCAAGCTCAGAGCACCCAGGAGGTGCCGGGTGTGGGAGCTGGACCATCTTCCAGGGGCCCTGTGAGAGGGTTGTGGCGCACTGTCATTAGCATCCTACGGGTACACCCAGTTTGTGATAGAAGGCATCTGCTCCAGGAGAAGGCGATGTTCTTGCGACAGGTCACCCTGTGTTTAAAAAAAAAAAAAAAAAAAAGCCATCTCGGTTCTTCACTGAATCTTGCTTACCATTCGGTTGCTACGGAAGAATAAAATGAATCGAGGGCAAAGGCACATTCTCTGGGGAAGCAAACATCTCTGCCTATGAAGTAATACTACAGCAGGTGAAATGTCCCCAGAACGCACTTTGAAAACCTGGAAGAAAAAAAAAAAATTAAAGTCCTTTTACACTGGTAAAAACAGCAGTACCAATAAAAGTGGGAAGTCTTAAGAGTCAGTTTAGTGTAAGGAATTATAGTCCTAGCAAGGCAGGTGTTTGAATTGATCTGGCAAAACAGCCACCTTCAACCAGATCAAAGGCCTCTAAGAAGCATCTGGTTTTACTTGGCATTCCACCCCAGGCAGGCACAGACTCTGACCCCACCAGTGTGTTCTGTGTTTGGTCCAGTTAAATAAGCAATGAACAGCTAAGCAGGGCACCCTAGACACAGTTGCATATTTTTGTTCATGTAGAGTGCTTTATAACAGCATTTACTTCTGAGCGTTTTTGTTTTGTTTTGTTTTTGCATAGTTTAAGGAATCTTGAAGAGAAAAGCACACTCCACCAATGGATGTACGGCTTCTGAGGTTCATGCATAGTTTTGACTGTCATTGTTTGATTTCCCCCGAAAAGATACGCCCTGATACTTTGATTCTCAACGCTAATGGATCAGCTGAATGTATTGAATCTGGAAGCCTGCTATCCCAGCAGAAGCAGAGGCCCATTGTAGGAACTGTAGCCCATTTTAACATTCTGATCTGAAATTCTAGATGCATGGGATGCTTAAAAGCATTACATTTTCCATTTTTTAATAGAACACCTCACAGAGGTAAAGACGATGCTTATGGAGGCCATACTGTAAGGCTCTGCAGAGAATTTAGGGCAAGTCATCTCCTAAGTGAATCCAGTATTCATAACTTAGCAAACGTAATACAGGTTGTTATGGACCCAAGGTAAGTGTCCCTTTGCAAAGTTGAAAAAAATGACCCCATATTCAGGATCTGTACTCAAGAGCTGTACTCAAGAGGCTGGTAGAAGACAACAGAAGGGTACTTAAGGATTTGGGGGCTCTAAGTCAGATGAGCTAATTTTTTTTCAGTCATCCTTGGCCAAGAACTCCAAACACAGCTCACTACTGTGTGGGGTAATCAGAAGGTCAGATGGAGAGAGAAAGAGTTTCTGGGACCACCATAAGAGCATGGAGCTGCTAGGAAATACAACCTATATTTCCACTAGCCACACGTCCTGGGGGCAGCTGCAGGATGGTCCTTACGTCTGATAATTTAGAGGTGCAACTGAGTTCACACAACTAGAAAGAAACAAGGCTGAGGTTTAAACCCAGGTGGATTTTTTCTGGGTTGCTTGTTTTATGCTAAAAGGCTCACACACTTCCCATCAAATACATTTATCCCTAATCAATTTGTAGGGTTACCTGAGTGCTTTTTCCCCTGAGCAGTAAGTCTCAAGAGTAGTCTTAAAATATTCAGTAAACTGTGTTGAAAACATATGCTCTCTCACCTAGGCTTTGTTATTCCATTTATAGAGCACAGGAAGAGTAGATTTAGCAGAATTCTTTTTTTTTTTTTTTTAAAGATTTTATTTATTTATTCATGAGAGACAGAGAGAGAGAGGCAGAGGGAGAAGCAGGCTCCCAAGGAGCAGAGAGCCCGATGCGGGACTCGATCCCAGGACCCTGGGATCATGACCTGAGCCGAAGGCAGACGCTTAACCATCTGAGCCACCCAGGCGCCCGATTTAGCAGAATTCTTAAGGGCCTTAGGATTTTTGAAATGTTCAGTGACCATTGGCTTCAACTTAAAGTCTCCAGCTTCATTAACCCCTCACGTCTGCCCCCTGAAGCCAGGCTTTGACTTCTCCTCTCTAGCTATGAAAGTCCTAGATGGTATTTTCATCCCATCGTAGGCCGTTTCATCTGCATTGATAATGTTTGGTGTAGCCACCTTCGTAAATTTTCTTAGCTAGATCTTCTGGACCACATGCTTCTTCACCTGGCACTTTTATGTTTTGGAGACAGCTTCTTAAACTTCACACACCAACCTCTGCTAGCTTCCCGTTTTTCTTCTTACAGCTTCCTCACCTCTCACCTTTCATGGACCTGAAGAGAGTTAGGGCCTTGCCCTAGATTGGGTTTTGGCTTAAGACAATGCTGTGGCTGGTTTGATCTTCTGTCCAGACCACCTAAACTTTCTCCATATCAGCAGTAAGACTGTTTCATTTTCTTATCATTTATGTGTTCACCAGAGTAGCACTTTTCATTTTCTTCCAGAACTTTTTCTTTGCGTTCACAACTTGGCTGTTTGGTGCAAGAGACCTAGCTTTCAGCCTGTTTTAGCCTTCCACATGCCTCCCTTACTGAGCTTAATAATTTCTGGTTGTTTAAAAAAAATTTTTTTTAAAGATTTATTTCAGAGAGAGAGCCAGCGCAAGTGTGCAAGTTGGGGGGAAGGGCAGAAGGAGAGAGAATCTCAAACAGATTCCCTGCTGAGCTCCATCTCATGACCCTGAGATCATGACCTGAGCTGAAATCAAGAGTCGGGCACTTAACCGACTGAGCCACCCAGGCGCCCCTCATTTCTAGCTTTTGATTTAAAGCGAGAGATGTGGGACTCTTCCTTTCACTTGAACACATAGAGACCATCATGGGGTTATTGATTGGTCTTCATTTCAGTGCGTGGTCTTAGGGAATAGGGAGGCCTGACAAGAGGGGGACTGGGGAACAGCTGGTTGGTAAAGTCAGAACACCCACATTTGTCGATTAAGTTCATTGTCTTCTATGGGCATGGTTTGGGGGCATCCCCAAACAGGTAAATAACATCAAAGGTTATTGATCACCGATCACTATAACAAAGGTAATCAAGTTTGAAATATTGCAAGAATCACCAAATGTGAGGCAAACACCATTGGAAAAATTGCAACACAGGATTGCCACAAGCCTTCAATTTGTAAAAAACGAATTATCTGCAAAGTGCATGAAATCAGAGGCTCCCTGGCCTTCCTGAGCTGCCTCTCCCTTCCGTCTGTGAGACTGAGGGCCTTACCCTGTTTTCCTCTTTGTAGGGTTGCAAACCGTAGGGTTTTGCTTCTTCCAGACCGACTTTACAGTGATAGCCACTTCTCACTAACCCCCAAGACAGGTGCGCCAGTGACTGGTAATTACCACTGGGGAAGCAAACATCCTGGGGTCCCCTTCTTGAGGTGGTAAAGAGAAAGTCCCACAGGCTTGGTTTTTATATTTTGTGAGAATCAAATCTTCCTGAGTTTCAGCTCTCCCTTTGCTCCCCCCGCCCCCACCCCACATATGATCAAGTCCCCATTTCATGGGGTCACAGGCTCTTTGGCTAGTGGGCAAGACAGGGAGGCACAGTGGGGGGGGTGGAATATTACTAATAGACAGCATTTTCTGAGTCACTTTGTGCCAGGCCACACACTACGTGCTTTTGCTTTACTTTAATTCATTTACCTTTCATGAACCACCAATGAATAAACTGTTATCATCAGCCCAATTTCTAGGTGAAGAAATGCTTGGGTGGGGGGGGCGGTGAGGTCCTGCAGAAGCTGATAAATGGCAGAGCCCAGTGTCAGGTGTAGCAGAGTCCCTGGCCCCCGTCCTTCCCTGCCCCATGGCGGAGGTGCGGGCCCTAGCATGGTAGAGCCGGGGCCATCTGGGTAGATTGTCATCGACACACAACCGATGAAGTTGTCCCTCTGCGGAGGAGAGCATCCCACCCCACTTAGGGTCTGTAGAAGTGCTCTGGGAAGATTTGGGAACTGACGAGGTGATTAGAAGGCTTTCTAGGGAAATGTAATAATAAGATGTGCAATGTAATAAAAGGGAACTGCTATCATAAAGAGGTATGTGACGTGATCTTGCGGTTTGCAGTAGGGGGCGTGACAGTAAGGATAGGTCGGTGTTAACCCAACATTGTCATTTAAGACTTTTTTTTTTTTTAAAGCCTAGTGTCTGGAAGATGCCCCTGTATCCTAGGTAATGGACACTGAGGAAACATAGCCATAGTGTGTGCATTCAGGTAGTTCACGGTCTCGGCTAGTTAGCGTGCTTTTGTCTGCACTTGGCCCAGACAGGAACCCTCATTCCCACAGAGTAGGGAGACCAACGGGCAGCGGGGCACCAGGCCCCCCGTGACGCCGGATGCACCACGTTCAGGGCTCTGGCGCCCAGTCCCAGCATGCTCCAGCAGGCAGCCGCATGGCCACAGCACCACCGCGTTCCGGTCTAGGCCGTACGCAGACGAAGAAGGGAGAGGGTCTTCTGGAAGTCCTTGGGAAAGAGAGGAGTTTTGAAGCTGTGAAACCAGTCACAGGCTCTCCCTCCCTTCTTGGGAACTGCAGTTGGGTCAGATGCGCAACAGGAACGATGATTGCTGTGATTAACTGAGATCACTCACCTGGGGTGGAAAGGATGCTTCTGGGAACCAACCTCTATGGCCATCCGTCTGTTTCTACAGGGCAGCAGGTAGCCGGCACACAGGTGGCTTCGCCTCCCCTTAGCTTACAGAGGGTCACCTTCTCACTGTGGCCTCAGTGGGCTTGTCCCTGTTCGTGCCCATCCCAGGTGTGCGTCCTAATGGTTTTTTTTTTTTTAAAGATTTTATATGTTTATTTGAGAGAGAGAGCACATGCGTGCACACATGAGTGGTGGGGAGGGGCAGAGGGAGAGGGAGAAGCAGGCTCCCCGCTGAGCAGGGAGCCCAGTGCGGGGTTTGATCCCAGGACCCCAAGATCATGACCTGAGCCAAAGGCAGACGCTTCACCAAGTGAGCCACCCAGGGGCTCTTTGTGTCCTAATCTCTTCTAAAGACCCCAGTTAGATGGGATGAGGGCCCACTCCTAATGGCCTCACCTTAATTCCTTCAGAAAAGGTGCAGTCTCCAAATACAGTCACATTCTGAGGTACGAGGGGTTAGGGCTTCAACTATGAATTTGGGGGGCACAGTTCAGTCCATAACAAATTTTAGGCCAACAGATCAGATGATGTACATAAAGTGAACAAAGTCCTCTGTAGACACAAACTACCAACTGATTCAAAAGATAGAAACTTGAGAGTCAGACGCTCAACCACCTGAGCCACCCAGGTTCCCATCACCCGGGATTCTGAGGAGTGTCTGGACCAACTCCGCGATCATACGTGGCGTCTTGGGATCATACGGGGTTCTCTGGACCTGGAGGGCGGCGGCACGGTCCCAGCGCTCGGTCTGCTCTCCTCCGCAGGTTTCTGGGTGGAGCGCACCCCCGTACACGAGGCGGCCCAGCGCGGCGAGACCCTGCAGCTGCAGCAGCTGATCGAGAGCGGCGCGTGCGTCAACCAGGTCACGGTGGACTCCATCACACCCCTGCACGCAGCCAGCCTGCAGGGCCAGGCGCGGTGTGTGCAGCTGCTGCTGGCTGCGGGGGCCCAGGTGAGCGGCCCCGCGGGACAGACCCCCGCCCGAGCCGGGGGAGCCACGGCACCTGCTCCGGAGAACGCAGGGAGGGAGGGGAAAGAGACACGAGACCTGGGATTAGCGTTGTCATGTGCAAGCGCGTGGGAAGTAGAGAAAGCCCTGGAGGGGAAGAGGAAGCCGGAGTGGGCTGCCATGGAAGCCAGCGGAGGAGCGGCCTGTCGGTCAGCTGTGCGCGGAGGGCCCGTGGGTCATGGCTCGGCTATCAGGAGGGCATTGGTAGCCAGAGAGAAGGCAGTTGTAGAGGGGGAGAGGCAGGGGGAGTGCCTTGCATGGGGGGTGCGCCAGAGCAGGCCTGCCCATCACACGGGCGGAAGAGCTGCTGCTGGGGTCCCGGAGATGTCGGAGTGGGATGCTGGTAAGCCAGCTCTCCATGGGAGGTGGAGGTCGGGGGGCGGGGGGCCCAGAACACAAGCTTCTGGTTTGTTTTCCCCGGTGTAAACACGCCGGCCGGGGCGGACTGGGAGCCCGCAGCGGTTTCTGGCTAGGAACTGGCCTGACACCCACAGCCCGAAGGTTTCGCCGGAACGCGGGCTCCAGTGTCCATTGTGAGCCACACCGTTCACACTGCCCCGCTGGCTCTCCAAAGCCTCGCCTACAAAGGCAGCCCCTGAGGAGCCAGAACAGGGTTTGGCGTGTCCCCGAATAGCAGCTGAATTCTAGGCAGAATCTGCCAGCTTGCAGAGTCGCCTTTTTCCTTCCCGGATCATGTTCCAGCTAGAGGGGGCACATGAAGCTGCTTCCGGCACTCCTGAAGTTCAAGCTCACTCTCCTACCCTGTCTCCCTCGGCTCGCAGTCTGGGTGTGTGTGGGGGGGGTGGGGGGTGGGGGCAAGAATGAAGCAGAGAAGCAGAGTTGAGCCTGTCCCGAGAGAAGAGCCCTGAAGAGGGCGCCTCCTGCACTTGGCAGGCTAACAGGCACTCCCAACCGCCCCCCATCCTTTGTCCTTGAACGCCCTTGCCTGGCGCAGCACCTTAGCACACACTCGGAAACTGGTGCTTCTAAGAAGGGCCTTTGCAAAGATGAATGTGCATCGGGGGAGAGAGCGGCTCACGTGGGTTTCCCCTCCGCCCTGACACGCGTTTCTTCCTTCCCACGAGGTGGATGCCCGCAACATCGACGGCAGCACGCCCCTGTGTGATGCCTGTGCCTCAGGCAGCATCGAATGCGTGAAGCTCCTCCTGTCCTACGGGGCCAAGGTCAACCCGCCCCTGTACACAGCATCCCCGCTGCACGAGGCCTGCATGAGCGGTGAGTCCGCGCAAGCAAGCAGTGTAGATGGGAAGCCATCGGCTGGCTAAGGAGCGCCCCCAGTCTGCTTCTGGCTCGTGGTCGCCCGGCCATGAGAGCCTCAGCTTTTCCTCCTGAAGGTGGTTTTCACCCAGGAGTAGGGGGCCGTGGTTTCTAGGACAGGATTCTATTCTCAGCGGTGTCCTCCAGTGCCTTTCAGATGTTAACACTGATGTCACTGCACCCTGCCGTGGCTCTCTCAGTCTTCCCGGCATTCTGCCCTGTGGCTCCCTGTTCTAGTTGGGAGAGGAGACCCAACATATGCCCGGAGGACAGGTGCTCTGGAGGGGGGGGGGATAAGGGGGAAGGGCTCATCCTGGAGTCTCGGAACAGGTGAGATTTCAGTTGCCCTGCAAGAATGGGTAGGTTTCAGATGGTGGGAGGGTAAGAGGAAGGCCACTCCATGCACAGAGAAAGTGACTTACTGGACCCAAAGTTCCCAGTGGAGGGGCAACAGAGAAGACTGGAAATTTAGGGCAAGACCAGCAGGTGGGAAATCATTAAATGACAGACTAAGGAGCTTGGATTCTACTCTTTTGAGCAAAGGTTGCAAGCTTCTGGCTGATGTTTTGATTGGCTGGCACCATGCTGGTCTTCGCTGCCTGGTGTGGGCGTGGGTGCATGCTCTCCCGTGGCTCCTCTCAGTCGCTGTTCTCTGCTGCCTCTCACCCCCCTTCCCAGGGAGGTCATCTTTTGTCACCCGGATCTGGTGATGAGACCATACCACTTCCAACCAGGTCAGACGAACACTGTACAGTTCCAAGGACACTTTATGAAACCCAAGACACTATGTATGATCGCGTAGTTGGTCCAGATACTCCTCAAAAATCCTTGGGGGAATCCCCGCAGCCAGAGGGTGGAGGCCAAAGTGTTTGGCATGGACTGTAAAGGGTTGGTGGCCTGGGCCTTGCTCAGGAGCTCTCCGAGCCCTCTCCCACCGCTGCCCCACACAAACCCGCTCTCCAGTCCCGCCTATAGCTGCCCAGTGTCCATGCCATTTCACACCTGCGTCTCTCTGCGTATATTCTTCCCGGCCTGCAGAATGGGGGACTGGACAGGAGCAATCTCCTGTTTAGATATTACATACTCCACCCTGTTAGATGCTTTCCTCTGGTGCTCTCTCTGGGCTGGTAAGTGTCTGGAATTTTCTCTGGTCATTTTTCCTTCCACATGGAGGGCAGTAGGGACACCTTTATAAATTTGTGTCCTGATCTTAGGCAGATACAAGCTTTTCTTGTATCTGCTTAATTACCTTAAACTCAAAATAATCCTTATGCTAAGGTAGACTATTTTGGGGTGGCGTAGTCTGCGGCTCTGCAGTAGAGGAGTGGAGGGGGTGGTATCCTGATGTGGAGAGATCACTGGGGCCATGGCAGTGATCTAAGCACAAAGCCCTTCAAGCCCAAGCGGGATGGATTCATTTAGAAGGCTTTGGGGAAGGATCAGCAGGATTTAGTATGAGGGAGAGCAGAGCACAGGGTCAAAGCCAACTCAGGAGTGATGCCGATGATGGAGACAGATTGGCCAGGCACAGGGGCCCCCTGGGAGTGGAGGGAGGGGACTCTGCCATGGCCAAGACATCCCCAAGAGCATGGCCAGCAGAGGGCTGGAGGTAAGAGGCTGGATTTCAGGGCTGGAGGTGGAAACTTGGTAGCTACCAACGATGAAGCATGATTAAGTGAGGAGAGAGGATGCAGCCTGGGACAGAACGAACCTGCACTCAAGCCGAGTTGGAGACGGCCGTGAAGAGGCAGGAAAAGCACCTGCTAGGGAGAAGAGCAGGGGACCTCCGAGGTAAGGAGGCTTAGGGAAGTTCATCCAGGAGCCCTGGACTCGGGCTGCCAGCATCTTTAGGAGACCACCTGCAGGCTCGGCGTTCCCGACACAGCTTGGGAGACAGCCCGGAGGTGGGGGGCACCGTCCTTCCCGCTGAGGAGCAGAGTCCGGCCGTTCAGGGTGGTAGTGCCAGACCTTTTGCTCTCCCCCAAGAGGGTCGGCTGCGTCCTCTCTCCCCGTCCCGCTGCCAGGCAGGCTCGGAGAACCCTGCAGGCTCAGAAGGGACAACTTCTTTAGCTCCCTAGGACCACGCGTGGTCGTAAACCAAGGTTGGTTGGGCCGCAGCTCCGGTTCGCCTCACCTCCCCCTGCAACCCGGCATGGGGCTCACCTGTCCACCTGCCGCTCCCTCACGCTTATTGCAAATGCACACATTCATTCACGGTTCTCATCCTTTTCCACGTGTTTGAAGGAAGTTCTGAATGTGTGAGGCTGCTTATTGACGTTGGGGCCAACCTGGAAGCGCATGACTGCCATTTTGGGACCCCTCTTCATGTTGCCTGTGCCCGGGAGCATCTGGACTGTGTCAAAGTGCTGCTTAATGCAGGTACGTCAGCCTTTCTCCCTGCGCTGCTCAGGGTTGGTGTTGGCGTTGACACATGCGTGCCTCAGTGCAGGTGTTTTGTTTACCTGCACCGTGCGCTGGCCGTGAGCTGGGCAGTGGAATCGGACAGACCAGCTTTGAAGCTGGCTCTCCCACCCACCAGCTGGGACCTTGGGCCTCAGTTTCTATATCTATAAAACTGGAGAAAATAAGCCCCACTTTGCAGGGTTGTTGGAAGGACTTGTGATCACATTTCCGCAGGACCTGATGCTCGATGAATGCTGGGTCATTATTTTTGGTAGCCGTAGAGACCATCCACAGTACCTGCCTGATGAGTTTGCAGCTAAGTCAGAAAGAGGTGGGAGGATCCACGGGAAAGGAGCTGGTAGCACGTTTGGAATCCAGGTCCTTGTCGGATGTTCTAAAAAGGCTCAGGATAGGGAGGGTCCCAAGGCAAAAAACAAAAAATGAAATAAGACATAGCCCAGTCAAGTGAAGGTTGGATTCAGGACCTATCTATCACTGCAGTTTTAAAATGTAGCCAAAGTGGGTGTTGGCAAGGAGTTTTCATTATGAACTCAATGTAAATATTTTGTTGGAAAATTTTAGCTCAGCCATTCTGGGTGCAACTTAGGATAAAAACAAAACTGGTCAGGAATAGAAAGATGACGAGCTCTGTCTGGACGACGGTCATTTGAGCTTCAGTTATATGTGCTTTTCTATTCGGGAGTCTTGTTTGCTTTCATGAGCCACTTTTACATGTTTTTAGTGAAAAGGATTTATTTTGTGTCAGGCTAGCCATTGGGGTGGTTTTCTTTTTTACACAAGGATAAAACATCTAGATGAGAAGTAGTCCTAGGCCTTCCAGCCAATCACTCAGCTTTTCCATCAACCGAGGGTTATTAGTTGCTGTGACTGCTGAGCTTACGAAATGGTAGTATCACAATCAACAACTGTCCCCAGAGCACCTGCTGCCCTTTTTTCTTTAGTTCCTTTAGTGGTGGCTGGAGGGGAAAGGCTCGAATCAGGGGCTTGAACCCCGACATCCCTTCCATATTGACTAAGACTTTATGGAACCGATTACTCTTGTAAGTAACGGGAACCAAGTACAGGGGGCTGAGGGGACGTCTTGGTCCAGGTGACTGAAAAGATCAGGAGGAGGCAGGTGTCAGGGTCGCTTTGCTCTGAGGGTTGGCGGCAGCATCAAGCTGGCACCGTCTCTGAATCTTTCAGGTCCGTTGTCCACCCCATTCACTTGATCCTATGCCTGGCGTCCCTAACAGGCTGAAAATGGCTGCATCAGGGTCACGCTCAAATCCAAATACTTTTCTTCCCAAGGTTTTGGGTAGTTTTCTCATAAGAGTGAGAAACCACTACTCCAGCTGTCTCCCACACACTTCCCTTAAGTCCCAGGGGCCCAAATTGGGTCCTGGGTCCGAACCTAATCCAGCCCCTTTGTCCAGGCTCGGCCACATCCTCATTGGCTCAGGCCCAGGTTATTTGAACCAATTCCTGGGGGTGGGGAGAGAGGGATTAACCAATCAGAGCCCATCCCTGGGGTTGGAGGCCAGGCCATCCCACCCCAGCCCCCCCCACCCCCCATTGCAAGGTGTGGGCTCAGTTGGGTGGGTCTGAGTGGGAAGGCATACACCTGGGGGATGGAATGAGGGCTAGACTAGAGCCCCCCCAGGGAAGGCTCCCCCATGGAGGAGGGGGACCGCTGCCGCCAGGCTGGCACCTCCGGACTTGCCTGCTACTGTAGACGTGGACGGTCGCCTCCTAGAGCATCTTCTTCCTAGATTGCAGGGATGCTTCTCAAAGAAAATGTTTTCAGCTGTGGGAAACCTCCCACATACAAAAAAGTAGAAGAGGGCAGCATATGGGCTCTTCTGAAAGTAGTGGTTCTGGTCACAGAGCCCTTGGAAAATCCACTGGAAGCCTCGGACAGGTCTCTGGAAAACAGGTGCTCGCGGACCCCCCCGCCCCCGCCACCCAGCTGCAGGGTGGTGTGGCAGAGGAGGGGGCTGGGGCTAGTGCCCGTCCAGTTGTCCAGTTGTCCCACGAAGTCATAGTGACTGTAACCGCCGCAGGAAGCGCTCAGAGGCGCCGGGGAGGGTGCTGGCTACCGAGCTGCTGGGGCCTCAGTGTCCCTGTCCTGCCAGCTTCTTGGCGCACATGGCCAGCACTTCTCTGTGCATGCTTAAGGCTTTACTCTGAGTCCACTTTGATCCTGTTGTGCTTTGAAATCAGACTTTGACCCCTTTTTCTCTGAAGCATGAGGTTGAGAAGTTTTAATGCCTGGATGCCTTTAGTTATTTTGCTGGCTTCCTCTCTCCCTGAGCCCCCCTCTTTCTCCCTCCCTCCTCCCCTCCCTCCCTCCCTCTCCCTCTCTCCCTTTCCCTCTCCCTCCCCCCCCCCCCCAGTTCAAGGCACATTATCATCATCAGTCCCCACAAAGCCACCTTCTCCCCCCTTCCTTCTTTCCTCTATTATTGCCCCCCAGCCCCCTGTTTTAATGTGTGTGTGTGCTTCCTCTGTATGTGTTTTGTAAGAGACACCGGGCCGGTTGAGGCATGTATTTGTAATTGACAGTCGGTGCCGTGTTACAGACTTTGCCCTCTTTGCTGTTTTTTTCCAGCCTGCCCTGTGTTTTCAAGTCCCCCCCCCACCCCCCATGTACTCTGTGTGCTCAGGTCTGCAGTTGCCCCAGCAGCAGCGTGTACCAGCGTCCCCTCCTGATCTCCAGTCTGTGTCACGCCCAGGCCAAAGGAGCCAAGAGCACAGGTTAAGAACGGCCTGTCTTGTACCTTGGGATGCCACCTTGTGGAAAGAGTCACCCTGCCGCGGCCTTGTATCCTGGGAGCCCTAGTGAACGGGATGGAAGGGCGGTGTGATTTGAGAGCTAGCCTACCCCTAATTTTCTCCTTGACCGCGTGCGCCCCCTTCTCTCTTGCTAAATAGAGACAGTCTCTTTCCTTCCCACTTGGCAAGATTATTGCTACAATTAATGACCTGCGAGACAGGTCCTGCACCTTAGATTCTGTACACTTTACAGTTTATTTTTCATTACCAGTTTGCGTCTCACGTTCGCACTCCTATTTGCTTTATGACTGCAACTATGAAATCCTTTATTCTTCTAGGCGGCTATTGGAAGAGCACCCCCGATGTGGGGGTTACATGGGGGGCGGTTCTTTTTTTTAACGTATTGCCTTTATTATTTTTGCAATGCATATCTGCTGAATTAAATACTTGGGTGATGTAGCCTTCTTCCTGAGGGATTTTTTTGCCCTCACCTGTCTTGGGAGTTTTGGCTGCACTTGTGTTATCTTGTTGGGGTGACTGCTGATAGGCACACAGTTTTTAGGTTCTACTAGGGGATCAAAACTGTTTTAAGTCACGGGTGCCTGGGTGGCCCAGTTGGTTAAGCATCTGACTTCAGCTCGGGTCATGGGACGGAGCCCTCTGTTGGGCTCAGTGGGGAGCCTGCTTGTCCCGCTTCCCCTTCCCCAACTTGTGCGTGCTCGCACATTCTCTCTCTGCCTCAAATAATAAAATCTTAAAAAAAAACCCAAAAAACGCTTTTAAGTCAGAAACCAGAATTTCCAAATATTCTTGAGCAGTGGGACAGGAGACCTAATAGCCTTACACCCTTTATTTCCTTTAAATTTATCATTACATGGAGATATGTTGGTGATCTGATTTCTTTTAACCCCACTTTCCTGATATTTTATGACTGTGATTGGAATCTCTTTTGGGGGGGCTGGGCTATTTGCTTGACTTCTTTAAAATACTTTTCTCCCATCCCCTTTCTCTTATAACCTCCTTATCCATTAGGAGCAGACTTCAAAGAAGTTGGTTAAAAAAAAAAAATCCTAAGGGTCTCAGAGATCCCCTTGCATAGAATTGGTGATGGCTGTACCCTATGAAAGATGTTTTACACAAATCCTATTTTTATCAAAATCTTTATTTTTTAATGCATCTAAAAATACTGTAATTAGCTACTTGTTCGCCTCTTTCTAAATATCTACTATTTTTTAAAAGATCGTATTTATTTATTTGAGAGAGAAAGAGAGAAAGAGAGTATGAGCAGGGGGAGGAGTGGGAGAGGGAGAAGCAGACTCCCTGCTGAGCAGGGAGCCTGATGCAGGACTCAAACCCAGAACCCTGAGATCATGACCTGAGCCACAGATGCTTAACCAACTGAGCCCCCCAGGCGCCCCTACTATAACATCTACTACTATCCTGAAAACAGGTGGGTGGCAGAGCTGAATTCACAAGTACGACACCTCATCTCTTACCTGAACTGCGGAGGGTGTTTGGGGAACATGACCTTCATTCCCTATGCGTGTCTCTTTTGTGAAAGAATATTTACATTTAAGGACCCTTCCTTCATTCCTGCAGCACAGCTTTCTAGAGCCTCCGGCCTGCGCCTACTGTGTGTGCACTTGAGCGGGAACAGTGTGCATGCAGGCGGGAACAGCAGGAGAGCTTCTGTAGCTTTGCCTGAGGTCTCAGAGCCTCAGGACCCATGGGGACAGCCTGTACGGGGTCTTAGAACTGCCTCGTAACTCACAGGGAAGTTTTCTTTTTCTTCTTTGGGTTTCCGTTTCCAGTTACATTACTTTCCTACAGCTATCGGTCTGTAGCTCTCTTACCATCAGAAAAAAAGTAATTACTGCTTTCTTTGGGATTTTGAAAAAAGATTCTGAAAAGGCTGTAGCAGAATCTGTCTTGACTCTTTCCTGGCTGGGGCATTGCTTTTGTGCACTGTGCTGAACGAGAAAGTACCAGCCGACGTTTCTGTTGGCTCTGTGGCCTCTCCTTGGTGATACTTGTTCTCCACCCCGGACTGGCAGGGGCCAATGTGAATGCAGCAAAGCTTCATGAGACTGCCCTGCATCACGCAGCCAAGGTGAAGAACGTTGACCTCATCGAGATGCTCGTTGCATTTGGAGGCAACATCTACGCACGGGACAACCGGGGAAAGAAGCCATCCGACTACGTGTGGAACAGCAGTGCACCTGCCAAGTGCCTGGAGTTCTACGAAAGTAGGCCACCCTGTCCTTGTCGTGTGAATGTGCTCGGTTGGTTGGTTTAGCATTGCGCAAGATAGCCTGCAAGAAGCTCTGTTCTGATAGTCTGCCTAATCACGTCCGAGCGGGCCAACCATCCCGAGTCCCTGTGAGCCACCCCACCCTGCAGGAGACAAGGGACAAATATGATCGGAGGACAAGACTTCTTTGCGTACAGATTTTTAAATGAATTTACCCAGCCTTGCAACCACAAGAGGCTTTCAGACACCTCTCGGTTGGGGAAAAAAACCCCGATTTTTTCAAATGTTTGCCGGCCCCACCCAACCAAAATCCATATGAACTTAGAGGCAGATACATCCGTACATGTCAAACATTTCCTGGAGGGTATTTCTTTTCCTGCATCCGAATAATGTGGGGGATGAAGTAATACGGGAAAATGAATTTCTCCAGGATTTCTTTTTTTTTTCCTCCCAAAGAGTTTTTTATTTCATAAATCTTCATAAGTTGAGAATACCGTTTGGCTAATTTATATATTTATCAAGCAGATATTTGCAGCATACGTGGGTTTTTAAAGCATTGAATCCTTGTAAAAGGCCGACTGCTCTGCAGGTGTCTCAGCAGCCGGGGGCCCCCAGGGACCTTCCATCGTTGGCCCTGGTTTGCTCGCCCTCCCGAGCCATGGCTGCAGGCTTCACCTTTCATCCAAGGTCCTCACCCTCGGGACTAGGACATGGGCTTGCGTGCTGTGTCTGTCAGAGCTGTTCTGTGGTGTGTGTGCGTTCTCCCCGGGTCCCCTTGTGCCCCGCGGCTCGTGGCAGTGAGAGCAGGGCCTGGGACTTGCCCGGCAACTGACCCTTGCCCTGTCCCTTACTTATCTGGAAGTTTGACAAACGAGCCCGCTAGCCACAGAGTAGTCATTTGCTGATGAATCTGTGTACCAAGTTATAACATTATGGAAAAGAAAAAAAAAAAAAACTCCCCAGAACCCCACAGAATAAAAGCCCAGTGGACGCCCCCTAAATTCCATTTCCTGGTCTTCCTTCCCAGGTCCCTGGCTGTCCTTCCTGGTAGCCTTCCGGAGAAGGCATGCAGGCCGCGTCCCAGCTCCAGGGAAAGGGGATATTTCCGGTTCCACCCTGGTTATTTCCCAAGTTGGAGGATGTTACGCTCCTTCCTTCAGCTGACCGCATGTGATTCCTGTTCCCTTTTTTCAGAAACACCTCTGACCCTGTCGCAGCTCTGCAGGGTGAGCTTGAGGAGGGCCACTGGCGTCAGAGGACTGGAGAAAATCACCAAGTTGAACATCCCTCCCCGGCTCATCGATTACCTTTCCTACAACTGAGCCGCAGGCCTGGGAGGCAGGTGGGGGCTCCCCTGGCTGCCGGCCTCGCTGAGCCCAGCGGCTGGGCCACAAGGACCACCCCCCTTGTCTGCAGCCGCCCGACTGCTAGAGAAAGAACAGCGTTCCCTGAGTCCCTGCTGGCTGTCCTGTTTTGTCTTCTCTGCAGACTCCGGAGGGTATTTCCGAGGCCCTGGGAGGGCCCTGCCTCATCTTCTGCAGGCACTTTGCTCTCCCTCCGCCCGGTCCCAGCCATCCAGCATTCTCCTGTCACTGACCTTCCTCAGGGGGACTCTCAGGAAGGACACAGGGGAAGGCCAGGCTGGGGCTGGGGGTGCAGGGCCCTGCTGCCCGGGAGGCCGGGGCACCTGGCGCCATCTCTGAGTCCTTCGGCACTAGGGTAGCCCTGGGTGTCCGAAGGGAGAAGCCTGTGCTGCAGAGATTGGGTCCTGACCATGTGGCCCCGGACAGCTGCTTTGATGACATCCTGCTACTTGGACAATTTTCTCTGGAGCTCTGGTGGGCACTTTCCAAGGCCCACCTGTACCCAGGTAGACCCATCACTCAGGGGACTTTGCACGGGTCTTGGTCGGGGAAGCCTCGGGCGACTTATTCCCCACACTAGCACAGTGTTTCTTAGGAACTTTTCAGGCCTCAGCTCTTAAACAGCTTATGTTGGGGATAAAATCTTTTAGAGCATACATAGGCTGCCGCACTTAGGTTTTGTTAACGAGCCTGCAAAACCACAGATAACGTGAAGGTGTGTCCGTGCGTATGCCAGGAGGAGTTGTTTCCAACATGAAGGACCCTTAGGACACCCTTTAGGGATGATTGCTCATCTGTTTCTGCAGTTGCCAAACGGATTCTCTTCCTGCCCTAAAGTTTGCTCACTCTCGAGGCTCTGAAATTGGTAGGAGAGGGAGGTTGCCAGCGCCCGGCATTACCAACCACTGACTTGCGCATCGTGCAGATACTTACGGAACGTCTATGATGTTCTAGGAATTGTCCGAGTGCTTTGAGCTGTGTAGGAATCAGACTCGTTACCCAAGGCAGAGAAAGAAAACACTTTCCGGTCTGTTCCCGTAGTAATAGAAACGAATTCTACACTCTCGGCCATGAGGTGAACTCTTCAGTACTGTATTCAGACTGCACTTGTGTCAGATTCTCTCTCCTCATTTAAAAACACAAAGACCAGGCAGTTAAACTAGAGGACGTTTGCATAATTAGTTCAGGTGTATTTGGTTTCTGAGGACACGGGAGGCACCACCGGTGAACGCTGCTGGGAGTCGTGCCCGAAGCTGCCGAATGTCCCCAGATGCTCCCAAGGCGGGGAAGTGTGTGGGGCGGAAGGAGCCTGGATGGGGGAGGCCAGCTGTGCTGCCCGCCTGGGGTGTCTCTTCCGCTCGAAGTTACTTGGCGGGGCCCCAGATCTGCGGAGAGTTTCACGGTAGCTGCCAATGGGCATTTTCTGTTTTGAAAATGACATGGAGGCCATTGTCACGATGGTGCCTCGTTAAGCTCTGAGAATGGGTCGCTCCTATCCAGGTACCATGTGAGATCCAAGTTCGAGGTAAATGGCTGCTTTTGCGTGTACAGACAACAACAACAACAAAATCACGGGGTTCTGCCCATCCATCTGTGTAACACAAACTGACCTCTAGCCATGAACGCTGATACGCTTCCTCCCGTGGAGCACTGAGTGCAGAATCTGTCCCCACACTCACTGCTCAATAAAAATCGCTTCACAAGAGTCCACCCTGACGTGCACAAGGCCCTTTTGTTGGGAGCAGACACGCTGATGGGCCGCTGTCATCTTCCAGTGATGGAGCCCTGCCCGTCTCCCAGATTCCCGTCTTCCTGCCTGTGTCCTAGTGCAGATGTCAGTGACTAAGATTTTAGGGCCTCCTGTAGCTTTTCTCCCTTCGCCTTACTGAGATGTAATCGACATGGATCCCACCTGTACCCTGAGTAGGGGGGTGACTGTAGACGCATTGCTCCGCCCCTCTGAGCGCGGCTCTTCCCAGCTGCCCTAGAGGGAGGAAAGGTCAGACTCCGATCATTAAAAGGACAATGATGGTCAAGTCCTGAATCTTATGAATGAGAACATGAGGCCCCGATAGCCTGTGTTTTGGTAAGGCTGAAGTTAGCTGATTAAAAGATGCCTTGAAAAGTATAAAGAGCTCCCCACACATAAAAGTTAGGTGGGTATGTGTATACTGTGGCTTTATTGATGTTTGTGGAGCTTATAGCTGTGTAAATGATTCTCTTCTGACTTTGGGACAGTCCCACTTATTTCAGGAGAAGCAGATCAGAAGACCTGTGCATTGGCATTTTAAAACTCGACGTGCATCAGACAGATCAGGTGACATTTGCAGCACAGATAACAAATGACAAACAAAATAAAGATCTCCTAGAAATCATGAAGAAAAAGATTAGGGTGCCTGGGTGGCTCAGATGGTTAAGCGTCTGCCTTCCGCTCAGGTCATGATCTCCGGGTCCTGGGATCAAGTCCCGTATCGGCTCCCTGCTCAGCACGGAGTAGTCTGCTTCGCCCTCTGCCCCTCCCCCCACTTGTTCTCTCAATCTCTCAAATAATAAATAAAATCTTAGAAAAAAAAAGATTAATAACCCAACAGAAGAAAGAAAACGGGCAAAGACTCTGGACAAGAAATTTACGAAAGAGAAACCTCAAATGTCCCCTGATGGGAAAGGGTGGTTAGAAGTGATCAGGGAAGGGCGCCTGGGTGGCTCAGT